AATTTAATATGATTTTGTACATCTCTTTGGGAAGTCAATGATCTTTTCATTTAGCTGTATTCTTTATGTGACCATTATTTTATTTGAAACTGGGCAATGAAAGGAAATCAAATCCACGGACCAAAATGTAGACTAGCACAATTCCGTTCTCAATCCAGAGGTCTTTGTGTATTATAGTTTGTGATGTTTTTGTGGGTTTGTAAATTGTAAGCAATTTGGTTAGAGTGAAGCAACTTAAAACTTTCAGTTTTTCGATGTTCCGACAGTCAAACCTTAAGAAAACTTGATCGTGGAAACATTTTGTGTACCAGTGCGCTGCCTCATTGATCAAGGTACTGACATGTTTGGCTTTTGGCATAGTACTAAAGGAATTTTATTCAGCAAAGATGCATTCAATTATTTTAACGTTGTTAAAAAAAAAAAAATTCAAATAAATTCTGTTCTGTTGACCATGTTTAATCAAATAATCCTTAAAAAAAATTAAGACAAGGGTCTCATCTGATTTCTGAAGTATCATGTGACACTGAAGACTGGAGTTGTGGCTGCTGAAAATTTACCTTTGCCAACACCGGTATAAATTACATTTTAAAATATATATAAAAAAATTCTTGAGAAGTGAGACAAAACAGGGTGCAACGTTGAAAAAAATAAAACCTTGTACTCAGACAAATGAAACTACGTTTGTGTATCTTATATGTACTAAGCTACTGAGCTATGCTTTGATACAACCAAACAAAATGTGCTTTTTTACCTTGGATTGTGTAATATAATTGCAACTATCTTTAACAGCATACAAGATGTTTTTAACATTTCAAAACACATTCTGGTGTTAGCAGACAGATTAAACTTTCACATGTGACCAACAATTCCACAACAAATATAAAATATCATAATGAAATATTATCAAAATATTCAACTGACGGAGGCGACACATCTGACGGAGGGGACGAAAACCTGAATTTGTAGTCATTTTAACTATCTCATACATTGAATCAGTCAATTACTGTATTAAAACAAACACAACAAACAGTGAGTATGTTATTGTTTATAAAGCTTTTATTCAAGAGTCACATTGAAGTATTTTGATATATCACTGGAACACAAAATCTTATGATGGTGACATCCGACGGTGTTGACAAATTTGGCATTTCTCTCACAAAACCAGTGGAGTTCATGTAGTAGCCATTTTATTTTTTTCTGTTGATGCTAGATGCTAATGGAACCTGCTTCAGGAGAATACAATGATCGAAATATTTCCAATAATTTCCTCAGAAATTGGAAGATGGTGTTGACATATCATGGCTGTGACACAGGAAATATTAACATTAGGATTTACAATATTCTAAAACTATAAAACTTAGCAGAGCCTGTCTGACACTGATGTACTCTGCAGAGGTGAACTGTGGCAAGGGGGTCCTTTAGAGTGACAGCTGCCCCTGATATTCCCTGATTTTATTACATCTTATTGAATGTCTGACGGTGTTGACAAAAAGTGGGGACGCAACTTTAAAATCTTATTAAACATGCACGTGTCATTAAAAACAGCCTTGTTTGATAGGAGATATTATTAAGTGTTGCTTTTGATAAAACAAGCTCTTTTTCGTCATTAAAAAAAACATTTGTATCCATTTTATTGCATATGAATTATTGAACCCTTCTCTGTGGACACACTGTTTTAGATGTAGTGAGAGGACATTAAGAAACATAGATTTGGTATAATAATGAGAAAATTAAATTGAAGGTGATAATTGTGTTAAATACATTCTATTATTAATCCCTCATGACATTTAAAATGGAAAATATTTTTATTTTTAAACCTAATAGCAGTTACCCTTGCTGAACCTGTTTTGTCCCATGTCTCAAGAATGACTGATTTAATATCTGTATTTTACTTGACCATTGTAAGACATTTATTTTTTTACAGTTTCTTTTCTGGTCAACGATAAAAACGAACAATGCACATAAACGTGTTCTGTGTGTTTTTGTTCGGCCCGTGATGAACTGTTCATTTCTTCTGCAGGCATGTCTGATGTTGGCACAGATGGAGGATCAGTCTCTGTGATGGAGGGAGATGCAGTCACTTTAGAATGAATCAGAATCAGAATGAGTTTTTATTGCCAGGTATGTTTACACATACGAGGAATTTGTTTTCATGTATAGATAGATATTGTAAATATCCAATATATATTTACAATATCTTATGGAAATAAACCAACAAGAAAACATTATATGGCATTTTAATAACATTCCCCTCGCTGAAATCACTGGAGATCCCAGTAAGATCTGTACAGATGTTTGGTGTGATAATCGTAAAGAGAGATTCAGAGACAGACTGAAAGTGGATCATCAGACTGGATCTCTGACCATCAGAAACATCAGAACCACAGATTCTGGGCTTTATGATGTATGGATCCCCAGCAAAAACCGTGGCGGTGGAGGATCCTACTCTGTTATTCGTGGTAAGTAATTGCTTTTAAAAGCAAGTCATGTACATTTAAATGACATCATTAATTTGATTATTTTTGGAATGACATTAAATAGGAATTTATTTTATTTAAGAAATTGCTACTGAAGTATTTCCACTTAAAGGGATTGAATTAAATGAGACAGACAGTAAAAGGTTAATCCCCCCTCCTTTTACTCTCTCGAAGTCAGTATAGGGCAGGTAAATCACTTTCAAAGTCTGTTTTCATGTTCTAGTTAATTTAATCAAGATTGTCCTCATACAATCAAATTAGGTCATTAGTTATTTTCACACCTAAATATTTTAGGCATATATTATAACATTCAATTGATAGCCAGCATATTCATTAAGTTGCTTGTAAAATGTTTTATTGATTCAGCTAAGCTGATCTGTACATAATCCCCAAAGAGGTTTTATGTTCCTTGCCATTCGAGTCCATCCTGGAAACAACAAATGCTGTTTGATTGGACCAGTGGCTTTATATGGATAATACTTTGGTCTGATTTATCATCAAAACTCAACCTTTCAAGTGTTTCATTTAGGAAATCTGATTTAATATATGAAATCAATGTCAGGAACTCAAATTTTGCTCTCCAGATGTGGCATGAAGGCATTTACACTGTGATTACAATTGTATGAATAATGTTTTATATATAACATTTTGAATATAATTATCTGAAATGAAATAATGGAAAAATTAAATGATACTTTCAAATATAAAAATGAACTTAGTAGATGGTGGCAAGTCACTGTCTTAATAAACAAGCCATTGAGTTATTCATTCAAATGATTTGTTCAAATGGCTCATTCATTCAGGAATGAAGCAAGTGACTGTCTTTTTTAATGGTTTACTGAATCATTGAGTTACCTGATTCATTCAAAACGTTCATTCAGTATTCAAAACACCGCTGTGTGTTGCATGGAGACACACAACTGGGGCCCGTTTCAATAAGGAGGTTCAACCAACTCTGAGTTGGAACTTGAACTCTGAGTTGACTTACCCTTAGATGGGAAACTCTGAGTTTTCGGGTTCAGAACGGCTGAATTGAGTTAATTCAATCGACTCTGAGTAGGATGACTGAGCACGTGCACTACGACTATGAAAAGTTATGATTAATGAAGCTCCGAAATTATGATTCACCATGGCAACATCACCCGACAAAAAGACGTCCGCATACTTCCGAGTCAATACGTCAATTTAATTCTTCATTACTAATAATATCAAAGGTAAATACTGGCAGAACGGTAAATTATTGAACTAATATACATTTTCATGGTATCCCACAGGCAAAAGAAGAAAAAAAAAAGCTAAAAATTAAGTATAAAAACATTATTCAATCAGGTAAAGCTTTAAGCATTAAAGGTTCATGAGTGTATAGGCTACATGACTTTACAAACATTTGACATATTAATTAAGTATCATTCAGTGTCTATTGCAGTGTGCAGCAGCTTTTTCCACATAGTCTAATGTTCTTTTCACATAATTAAATGTTCTCTAATCCAAACTGTTGTATTTCTTAAAGGGGTCATATGATGCAATTTTTCCTTTCTCTTTGGAGTGTTACAAGCTCTTGGTGCATAAAGAAGATCTGGAAAGTTGCAAAGACTAAAGTCTCAAATCCAAAGAGATATTCTTTATAAAAGGTAAGAGTCAGCCACGCCTACCTAAAACGGCTCGTTCTATTTTATTTTACTTTTATTCTCGCTGTAGTTTTGTTGTTTCCACCGCCATGCTGATATGGCATCATCACAATATGGCAAGGGGCTTAACATTTCCGTCACACGCTTGAGGTATTCGGCCAATCACAATGCACTGGATAGCTGGCCAATCACAGCACACCTCGCTTTTTCAGACTGATGAGCTTTGTAAAAATCAATGCGTTTCAGAAAGGCGGGGCATAGAGGAGAAACAATAATGTACAGTATGTGGAAAATAATGTGTTTTTTTAACCTTTAAACCGCATAAACATATTTCATTACACCAAATACACAAAATACAGTTATTTTTAGCAGCATCATATGACCCCTTTAATTAGAGTAATGAAATTAACATTTGACTTCTATTCAGCCAACAGCAAGAAGGCTCTTTGTTTGGAATTGTTTTCAATGGAAAAATAGAGCAAAACATAATGACAATATTGTGTCTAAAATGTAACTCATAATATCAATGACATAATATCAAACTGTTTATTGAACTGTATAAATGATCAAATTTGCAATTATGCTAATATTTGAGAAAACAGCACTCTTGCTCGTGTGATAGTGCTTAACTAGACAAAAACAATTTTTTTGCAAAGTGCTTGATAATGTCAGCTCGCATACCTCGCATCACAATATTATCGTAGACGACACATATTGCACACCCCTGTTTACATTATAAATCCATTTATATTGCTTTACTCACAGTCTTTATGATCTGAAGAAAAAAAAAACTTTTCATGGCGCTTTCCTGTTGTATAATTTTGTTTTTCACTCATAAGGAACTGTTCATTTCTTCTTTAGGTTTCCTGGTGTTGATAAAGTTGAAGTGTCAGTGATGGAGGGAGATTCAGTCACTCTACAGACTGGTGTTAAAACAAACCAACAAGAAAAAATTAAATGGTATTTTAATGACATTCGAATAGCTCAAATCAGTGTAGATCAGAGTAAGACCTGCACAGATGTTCAGTGTAAACGTGGTGATGAGAGATTCAGAGGCAGGTTGAAGCTGGACAAACAGACTGGATCTCTGACCATCACAAACACCAGGACCTCAGATGCTGGACTTTATAAACTACAGATCATCAGCAGCAGAATCAGCATCATGAAGAAATTCAGTTTTACTGTTGCAAGTGAGTATAATTTAGTGCTCATTAAATATATACATCTTTGATCTCGTAGGTCGATCCACTAGTAGTCAGAGAAGTTATTAAGCATAAGTTCATCCATGAGACTCATGTATGTTTGATGAGTGAATGTGTAAATCAATGTTTTCTGCTGTTCGTTGGCATGTGTTATGTTATGAATCCAAACATATTAACCTACCCACAGTCTATATGATCTGTTATTAAATTATCACAGCACTTTCCTGTTGTATCATTTTGTTTGGTGTATAATGAACTGTTCATTTCTTCTTCAGGTTCATCTGGTGTTGGTACAGATGAAGTGTCAGCATATGCGATGGAGGGAGATTCAGTCATTCTATACACTAATGTTAAAAAAAAAAAAAAAAAAAGATTAAATGGTATTTTAATGACACTCGCATCGCACAAATCAATGGAGATCAGACTTATATCTGTACAGATGTTCAGTGTAATGTCGGTACTGAGAGATTCAGAGACAGACTGAAGCTGGACAATCAGACTGGATCTCTGACCATCATGAACATCAGAAACGCACACTCTGGACTTTATCAACTAGAGATCATCAGTGACCGGATCAGCATCATGAAGCACTTTAGTGTTTTTGTTCGTGGTGAGTCGTTATGTTTAAAAACATGTGGTACATTCAAATCACATCAATAATGTGTTTAGTGATATTTTTGCAGTGATATTCAGGGGTGAGTTGATATCCGGGCTTAGCCCAGAGACATCCATATGTGTCAAAATGGCCAAAATGGGTGTGGCGTCGGAGAGGCTTTTATTAACATAAAAATAACAAACAGGGAATAAGGTGTCCAAAGGGGAAATTGTGTTCAAAATAAAGAGGGGATCTGGTGTCCTCGTCGTGCTGCGGGGTTCGTGAAGGTGGAGCGGTGTTCGGGAAGGAAGGGTCGAGGTAAGGGGCGGAGTCCGGCGGCCGCACGCACTCCTCCGGTCCGGGGCGCGAGGTGCGGCGGCTTCTTTCAGCGGCTTATTCATCCTCTGCTCACGACGCTTGAAGGGACTAGACGGCCCGGAATCCTGGCCCGACGGCCGTGTAACGGGTGCGGTTCTCGCGCTCACATCTTCGGCGGCACGAAGATCCCTTATCGCTCCCTTCCGCGACCCACGAGGACACCAGGTCTCCCGAGGAGAGGCGCGCTCGGCATTTAAACAGCGGCGGTGATGAGGCTCCATTCGGTTCAGGTGTGCTTCATCACACGCCGCCAGCCCTGGCTATTTCAGCGCCCCTCCTCTCTCACGCACCCACTCCTGGGAGATGGTCCTCACTGCAGAACACAAGATCCAGGGGGTGAGGTTGGATCCAGATCCAACTCCTCCCACCTTACATATACCTAAACCTACCCGTCTCCACCCCCTGATCCCTAAACCCACCCATATCCACCCCTAAACCTACCATGTCCAAGGTGTGGATCCAACCCCGCCCCCTGGGTCTTTGTTCTGCAGTGAGGGGCTACTGACTCCTGGCGGGAGCCTGGCAAAGGGTGGCGATTAAGGGACGATTTGTCCCAATATATATATATAAATTTACATTGACTAAAAAAACATGGATTGAAAAAAAATGATTGAAAAAAAAGGCCAAGTATAAGCCTAATTAAACATGCAGGGTTTTATACACTTTTTTTCCAGCACTTGTACATGCATTTACACTGCACTTACAAATTGCATAAATAATGTTATGAGATTAATGTTTTAAATATAAAAACAGCGATATAGAAATACAAGTGAAAAAGTAGAATGATACTTTTAAACGCGAAACTAAAATTACCAATAGGTGGCGGCAAGCCACTGTCTTAAAGGGGTCATATGACTCTCCTTTCTCTTTGGAGTGTTACCAGCTCTTGGTGCATAAAGAAGATCTGTAAAGTTGCAAAGACTAAAGTCTCAAATCCAAAGAGATATTCTTTATAAAAGTTAAGAGTCAACCACGCCTACCTAAAACGGCTCGTTCTAACACGCCCTCACGTCTACGTCATGATGTGGGAAGATTTGCATAACGCCGCCCAAATGTTCACGCAAAGAAAGAAGACATAACTTTTATTCTCGCTGTAGTATTGTTGTTGCCGCCGCCGCCATGTCGTGAAGACACTGTGTGTTTCATTGTGAAAGCGAAACTATTTTGTTTGGTCTTCCAAAAGAGGACGATATCGCTTCGTCATGCCTGGAGCTGATCCGTGCTGGTCGCTGAGGAAATACATCAACTTTGCGCTGTCGATCGCCGGATCGGCTTTCACTGTGGACGAAGCGGAGTCCAGCCCGGGGTCGTCACATGTAGTTTCCGCATGCCTGCCGGACGCTCCTTCGTTGAATCCACTCTAGCCCGCCAGCCTCCGCTCACTCAAGCCCGCCGTGTGTGACGCTGTGTGTTTCGTTGTGAAAGCGAAACTACTTTGTTTGGCCTTCCAAAAGAGGACACGACTAGAAATCAGTGGTTAAGTTGTATTTACAACACTGTTCCAGAACACTTCAACCCAAATATTCAGATGTGTGCAGCCCATTTT